AAAGAAAGAAAGAAAGAAAGAAAGAAAGAAAGAAAGAAAGAAAATACATAACAAAATATTAAGAATAACTAAAATAAACAAAAGAATTAACAAAAACTGCACATGAAAAAACTCTTAGTAAAAAACACATTAGGCAAAATGTTAGAATAATCATTTTCCAATAAAAAATTTGTGAAATGAAACAAACAAATAAATATTACAGCTTATCAATAAGAGAATACAAACACTAATGAGATAAACTACAATAATTAATACAATATACTACTAAAAAAGAACAATTATGTTGAGTCTCACACTCCTGTTTTGCCTTAATAAATAAATATCCCCTGTATTTTTCCCAATGTAGTCATACAAAGCATGAAATGCTGTTTTATTATTATTTTTTTTAACTACACTTTTAATCCAGTGGTGTACCTTTGCTGCTCAAAGGAAAGCGTTGACTTCTAGACTCCCTGTCCTTAGCAGCTCTCTGAAGTGGGTATAATCTGTGAATGTGACACAAGTCTTTATGAAGATCCAGCTCAGCAGAACCTCTCCAACCATAAGTAATGGCTTTGGAATAGATTAATAAGCGCCATAAAGTCTCATACAAATTGAGCATATAAAGCAGAAGAGGCTCTTACTTCCTAGAGAACAGCATCAGCTAATTTTCAATTAAGATTCTTGATATATTCCACATTAGCATGAACTGAGCACCAAACAGAAGGGTGTTTCTCTGCAGTTTGCTCAATAGATCTCCATTCAGAGCTACATTGGCATAAAGCCTGCATCAGTTGTGTTGTTTTTGTTTTCTTTGCCTCTAGTGTTAGAGGTTTTAAAGATGCTGCTTTGAGAAGAAAAGCAGATAACAGTTAATCAAAGCAGTTAGTCTTGTGGACCAAGTGTCTTTAGAGTTGAATATGCAGTCTTTTTTTTAAAGCAGTGAGATTAGCATTGGGAGAAATGACTTATTGTATTCAGAGTTGTGTAATTGATCATGGCTTGTAGCTGGTGTGGGCTACAGGATAGCAAGTTTTATATGACATGATGAAAATGGAGGTCAAGAAGCATGAATCACCCTGCAGCATGGACAGGTGGCTTTTTTTTCTCCATTCAGTAAATATCGTATTTAATCGTTTTTTAAATCCAAATCTAGAATTGGAGTGAAAAAATGAAAATGTATAGAATTAAGTCATAATGAACAAACAGCTATTGTTTTTTTCCATGTGCAAGAAAGAAGGGTTAAATCTAAAGTGATCCATGATGGCCCTCTCCTGGTAGATTCCAGAACTGCTCAATAATTTCTAAGCCAGGATCTCACCAACACTTTGCTTGTGTAAACCTTCCCCACATCAATACAGAGCTGTTCTGAGTATGTGCATGCTGAGATCCAGTGGAGCAGAAACTGGTGAACGGACCAGCTGTTAGGAGTGGGCAGTGCCAGTTTGTGCTGAGCAGTTGGCAGGCCTGCTGGAATCGGAGCAAATGTTTAACTCAGTCCAGCTTTTTGTCACAGTCTAACCCTCCACAGAAGGTAAAAAAAAAAAAATAAATAAAAATGACAGTGTTATCAGATTTTCTATGCATCAGCTGCCTGTAGTAATATTCACATAGATTTGAAATCTTTTTAATTTTATTAAGTAATCCTTTTTCCAAATTCTCTGGAGGAAAAAAAAAGTCTAATTGAATATATTAAAGAGATCAAGATCTGGGCTGTGATTCTGGGGAGGACTTTCCAGAGTCTTAATTCTCAGCCTGTCCTTGGTGGGTTTATTGCTGTGTGTTGGGTTGTTGTCAAGTTGCAGGATCCAGTTCTGCTTCCGCTATTATTTTTCCATATGATATTCATTATTTCCCCACTTCTTTTTCTTCCTAACCCTTCCTAACCGATGGTGTAACATTCTCCTCCATTCCCCTATGATACATGGAATTCAGGGTGGATATTTTATGGTGAACTGGACAGATCCGGCTGCAGGCAAAGCGTCCCCAAACCAAACTCATCCCTCTTCATGCTTTATAACTCGTATAAGTTTCCTTTTTGGAAATAGTTTGTAAAAAATCTGTTCTCTCTTCTGGTGCCCAAGTTATTCAGTTTCAAACCAAATGTTGCTCCTAACTCAATTCAAGAAATGAAGGTTCTCCATGCAAAGACTGACTTTAACCTTCAGAGACCAAACGTTTATTTTCTTAGACATCTCCCATAAAGTTTGCATCAACAGAAGAAAGAGCTTAAGTTTAAAAAAGAAACTTTTAGCAGAGCGTGAGTCTGTATGGATTAACTGACACAGCTGATGAATATCAGTCTGTTAGAAATTCTGTTATATGTCTACATTATACTCTCAACATGATCCCATCTCTTTTGTGAAGTGCACCATTCCTTCCTGCAGTAAAACAAACACTATTACTATTACTAGCATCCTTTACTTTTTCACAGCTAGGAGGATGTTTTTAAAATTGCAAGCTTCGTAACTGCATTGCCCCCATTACACCAAGTAGTCTCTCAGTCTATTTATTTTACTGAGAAAAGTCACACATCCACTAGGTTCAGTCAGATTTTTTTGCTAGGTATTTTGCCTTTAATGTGGTTGATATACATTTTGCGTAGTAAGTCTGTTATGGAACAGAATGAATCCATTCTGAATGGCGTGATGGGTTGAAAATCCTGTAGCATTTACAGCGACATACCTGTTTGTCACATGAACACTGAAACTTTTATCAAAATAAACCTAAAGAACTGTTCAGGTTCTGTTTCCTTGGGATTTTTCTATGATTTCAGTCATGAAAGCAGTCAATAAGGTGTTTTCCATGGTGTGGCTCTATTTAACACAAACTTTAACAAATTGATGGTTAAAGCTTATTAAGCTATGCTGGCATGTGGTTTTTCCCAAATTCTGAAACTGGAACAAAATACAATATTTTTCTTTTACTCTTGGGTTTAGAAATAGAATTTTGTCCATTTCAGTACTCTTAACAAACCCTCAACGACAGTGTGAACAAATAAAGGAAACAAAAACATACTTTTATACAACATGAAATTATCTGGTTTTGACAGTTTGCTCGAAAATATTTTGTCAAATGAATACATAAGTCTCACTAACTAAACTAAATTACTAAAATATTTTTTTTGAGGATAGCCCAAGATATTGGAATGCACCAATGTAAAACATAATAAAAGAGCAATTAAAGAATATAAAACCCAGAGTAACCTTTTAGGTAAATTTTAATATTCAAGAAGTAAGACACTGTTTCTATAAAATTACTAAGTGGTAAGAAGGTAAGTAAGCTTTATTTATTTAGCACCTTTCAAAACCAAAGCCACAAAGTACTTCACAACAGTTTAAAAACGTCAGAAATCATACAAGAGGCCAAGAGAGTAAGAAATCATAGCAGCGCAAAAGGTAGTTAATTAAAAGCATGTACAAATAAAAGGGTCTTCAGTAAGTTCTTTATCAAGATTTATCTCGTCTTGGCAAATTTATTTGAAGGCAAAACTGCATTCCAAGGCACACATACACGCAATCCAAGCGCGAAAAGTAATCACATCCTTTTTAGCCCTGCAGTACATAGCCTAATAGTGATGGAAAAACAGATGTGAAGATGATAAAACAAAGCAACCTTTAGGAGCCTTTTCCAATTTGGGACACAGGTAATAACTCTGACAACATATATCTTAAAAGCAACAAGATAGTAGTTTGCAGGGTCCTTGAAAGACACTCTTTGACACAAAAATGTAAGGTCACTAACTAAAAAAATACAAATTCTTCTACTAAGATAGAATATATATAGTCATGCACAAAATACTGAGAAAATAGCAATGCACAAACTTTCCCACAACACTCCGTTGAACAGGAAAACGCTGTACAGAGGTGCATTTCAATATCAACAGCATGCTCTAAACATGACTTTTAAATGATTATCAAATAAAGGCCACGAATAAACCTAATAACAGAGCATATCGAGTCAATGTTTGCAAGACTGCAGTAGAAACATTTTTAATGACTCTTAAAGAACTACATACGGTGATAAAATTGTGGCAGGATCATTCTGTAACAGGTGGGTTGCCAGTTGGAGCCCCTCACTCCATCTGTCTCTATTGCTGTGACCTTGGGCACCACTTCACCCGCCCGTCTTCCAACCATCAGTGTATCATGATGGATGAATAACAGAGAATTATTTTACCAGGTTTTTCAAGCATCTTTAACAAGTGAATATTCAGGTGAATGTCCTCCCACAGTCTTGGTCTGGACATGCAGAGAGAGGCAGATGTCACTAAATAGCGTGACATAAGATCTAGCCGCAAATGGCAGAGGAGCTTGTGGCGCTATTTCCAGAGAGAGTACAGGGACGCTTGTATTGTGTGGTTCACGGAGACGTGGTTTGATGAACTTTTTCCCAGACTTATTAGTTTCCCTGAATGGTTTTAAACTCATCTGCACAGACAGAAATTTGACAGAGAGCAGAAAGAAGAGAGGAGTGGGCTGGTGGTGTTTGCAAGGGAGAGATGGTGTAACGTGGCTCATGTTCACATGAGGAAACAGATGTGCTCCTCAGATGTTGAGGTACTCAAGGTTGGCATGGGGCAATACTATCTCCTATGGGAGTTTGAACGTGTGATAATGCTCTGTGTTTACATCCCTCCTACCACTGGTAGCAGACTTGGTAGTCTCAAAGTTCACAGTTCTTCAAACAATGGTACATTTTAAAGTTTGATATGCTTTGCAATATGCGGTGATTACATATTTGTGATTCATCCTCATGAGCAAATATATTTTCCACAGTCCTCTACAGGCCTGCTGGCTGGTTAGAAGATTGTAGTAGACAGATGCTAATTAGAGGAAACACCTTGATTTATCCTTTCCCATTGGTCACACATTTTCAGTCTTTTTCTTGGGGTCAGGCCCATTTCATGTCTTAATTTGTTAGTTTCATTCCATTGAAACATGGTAGAAAAGAAATATCCGACTTCCATTTTCCATAGAATGTGTTTTTATGATTACCTTTGTCGAATTCAGGTTATTTACTCTGGGTTGAGTTAAACTTGAACTACAGACAACTTTGTTCTAGTGTATATAATCTATGGTTAAAGCATAGATAGACTTTAACATTACATTTCTATAAAGTAGATCTAAAACATTCATATATTTTTAATTTCTTAATTTTTTGGAAAAATATTTTTACAAAAATAAAAAAAACCAGTTAGGCAGTCATTAAAAAAAAACTTTTCAAGATCATGTTTGAGCACTTTACACAAAAAGAATAATAAATGCGCAACAAGGATTAAGTCAGTGGTCTTCTGAACTGGAGTCAGTGGAGTTACTTGTGTCAGAATCCGATAAACTGCTGCTTGTGCTGATGTACTTAGAGGTACTTCGGGAGGATTTTCCTGGAGAAAGCAAAGAAAACAAGACATTATAATGGATAATATAAATTCATAACCCTCCCATTATTCTAGCTCAGTACTCATGCAAATAGAGGCAGATGTCAGAGTGGGAATGGGATGCAATCAGGTGCTCATCACAATAAGAAATAAACATGTATTCATAAATCAAACAAAACATTAATGGTGAATAGCAAAATGGAGAGGTTGGCTTAGCATGCCGCTCCTGTGAACTTAAGGCATGGCTTCTGAATAGATTAATTTATTGTCCATTGCGCAGATATTGGCAGATACAAATACAAGAGAAAAGAAAGCCAATATCAGCCAAAAATATCAGCTGTCATATTCATCAGTTTATCTCCACAATTCAACCTCTTATGCTACTATCACACCAGACACGATTAAAGCAGCTGGGTAACCTGCAAAGTAAATGGTTGATGCGTAGAAAGGCGCATCAAAACGTCCCGACCACGTATCCAGCGGCAGAAACAGCGCATCTTGATCCAAATGAGCAGCTTAAGCATCGCCTCATGAGCATCTGAGGTGAGTGACGCACTTCACAAGCAGCAGTTGCTGGAGTTGGAAAATTATAACTTCAGCTGCTCGACACGCCATATCAACCAATCAGAGAAGCTAATGTAGGAGCTGGCAGGGAGAAAGACAGTACTGCTGATGCAGAGAGCTATGATCACTCCTCTGAAACTGTTTATTATTGCCTAAATTAACTTAAAATGACGAAACCTGTTGGCAAAATATGGTCCATTTTATTATTCTGGTGCCTGCAGTGTGTACCACCTGAAAAACGCTAACATCTACTTCTAGCTGCGACGAACACGAACAGAAACCCCCCTACCTAGTGCTGGAAATTCCCAGTGCACCGCCCGTATGTGGTGACATGACCGGCTCCGGCAGCAAAATAATATCTTAAGACAGGATCGCATCTTGATGAACTGACTGCATAGACAATGTTTTCAGGTGTACCTTCTCGCTTAAAAATATATCAAAACTACTTTTTACCAGCTTATCACAGCAAATATAGCAAAGTGGCTCTCTTCCATTGAACACTGGAGCAGCAGAAACTACTAAAGTACAAACTTCTTTGGACGCGGTGCAGGATCAGGCTCATCTGACCTTAATGTGTACAAGCTTCAAAAATGAAGCAACAGGCGCATTTTTGCTGCCCAAAGCTCGTCACACCACTGCCACAACTGCTACCCTCAATCATCCTCATAAATGATTATGCACTACTGTATTTCACCCTCTCTGCAAAGCTAACCATCTGCAGGAGCATTTGGGCCTCAGCTCCCTGTTATATTACTCTTGGTCTTTTCCTTCCCATTAATCTCTTTGCTCTGTCGTTCTCATCAACATTACTATCACCATCACCAATGTCATCAATGCCACTGCAACCACCTTAATCATCACAGTAATCTTTGATTCCCTTCGGAATGGAGAGTTTGGCCTATAGACGGCACATGATGGGTTCATCTGGCCAACTCCATGTAGGAGGAAAAGAAAGTACATACAGGTCAGGTTAAACTCCTCCAAAAATGAATGAAATGAAAAAGCATGCACAGGGCTTTCACCCCCTTCGTTACTGCAGACAAGAGTACGGAAAGTACAGAGGGACGAAGCATAAGGGTTAAAAGGAGAGCATGAGGGATCTGTCTGACTCCCCTCAGATATATACACTCACCAGCCACTTTATTAGGTACCCCATGCTAGTAACGGGTTGGACCCCCTTTTGCCTTCAGAACTGCCTCAATTCTTCGTGGCATAGATTCAACAAGGTGCTGGAAGCATTCCTCAGGGAGTTTGATCCATATTGACATGATGGCATCACACAGTTGCCGCAGATTTGTCGGCTGCACATCCATGATGCGAATCTCCCGTTCTACCACATCCCAAAGATGCTCTATTGGATTGAGATCTGGTGACTGTGGAGGCCATTTGAGTACAGTGAACTCATTGTCATGTTCAAGAAACCAGTCTGAGATGATTCCAGCTTTATGACATGGCGCATTATCCTGCTGAAAGTAGCCATCAGAAGTTGGGTACATTGTGGTCATAAAGGGATGGACATGGTCAGCAACAATACTCAGGCAGGCTGTGGCGTTGCAACGATGCTCAATTGGTACCAAGGGGCCCAAAGAGTGCCAAGAAAATATTCGCCACACCATGACACCACCACCAGCCTGAACCGTTGATACAAGGCAGGATGGATCCATGCTTTCATGTTGTAGACGCCAAATTCTGACCCTACCATCCGAATGTCGCAGCAGAAATTGAGACTCATCAGACCAGGCAACGTTTTTCCAATCTTCTATTTTCCAATTTCGATGAGCTTGTGCAAATTGTAGCCTCAGTTTCCTGTTCTTAGCTGAAAGGAGTGGCACCCGGTGTGGTCTTCTGCTGCTGTAGCCCATCTGCCTCAAAGTTCGACGTACTGTGCCTTCAGAGATGCTCTTCTACCCACCTTGGTTGTAACGGGTCGTTATTTGAGTCACTGTTGCCCTTCTATCAGCTCGAACCAGTCTGGCCATTCTCCTCTGACCTCTGGCATCAACAAGGCATTTCCGCCCACAGAACTGCCGCTCACTGGATGTTTTTTTCTTTTTTGGACCATTCTCTGTAAACCCTAGAGATGGTTGTGCGTGAAAATCCCAGTAGATCAGCAGTTTCTGAAATACTCAGACCAGCCCTTCTGGCACCAACAATCATGCCACGTTCAAAGTCACTCAAATCACCTTTCTTCCCCATACTGAGGCTCGGTTTGAACTGCAGGAGATTGTCTTGACCATGTCTACATGCCTAAATGCACTGAGTTGCCGCCATGTGATTGGCTGCTTAGAAATTAAGTGTTAACGAGCAGTTGGACAGGTGTACTTAATAAAGTGGCCGGTGAGTGTATATATATATATATATATAAAAAAAAAAAAACTGTTTTCTCACCCCTCGTGGGGTGGTATGTGTCATCCTCAAGCTCGGGTCCTCTACCAGAGGCCTGGGAGTTTGAGGGTTCTGCGCAGTATCTTAGCTGTTCCTAGGACTGCGCTCTTCTGGACAGAGACCTCTGATGTTTTACCTGGAATCTGCTGTAGCCACTCTCCCAGTTTGGGGGTCACAGCCCCCAGTGCTCCAATTACCACTGGCATCACTGCTGATCTCACTTTCCACATCTTTTCTAGCTGGTATTTCTCAAGCTTCTCGTGTTCTTTCTTCTTGATGTTGCTGTCGCTTGGGATTGCCACATCTATCACTACTGCCTTCTTCTGCTGTTTGTCCATCAACACGATGTCTGGTTGGTTAGCCATCACCTGTTTGTCAGTCTGGATCTTGAAGTCCCATAGGATCTTAGCTCGGTCATTCTCAACTACCTTAGGAGGTGTCTTCCATTTTGACCTTGGGACTTCCAGCCCATACTCATGGCAGATGTTCCTGTACACTATATATATATATATATATATATATATATATATATATATATATATATATATATATATATATATATATGCACATCTTTTTATAGATGAAAAAGGTGGGCAGCTCCCTTGCACAAGATGGAGTATCACATGCAAGACATCTCTCCTCCGTACAAAGCCAGACCAGGCCAATGTCCTTTCCGTCCCAACCGGCAGCAACCCAAGATGACAACAAAGGAACAAAGAGAAGAAAAAGGGGTGTAGGAAGAGGCTAACTAAGTGAGTACTGAGGGCTCTGTGTGGCCCATCTAAGAGCATGGGAGGGTTAAAGTTAAAAAAATATTTGTCAAATGATTCAATATAAGACCTGAGTTAATATGCTGGACTCACTTTGGTATCTTTTGAACTTCTTGAACAGGCAGGATCTGACATATTGTTCAAGCTGTCGCAGAGTAGATGGCTTCAATATCTCAAAGTCAATCTCTACCTCATCTATGTCAGAATTGCAACTGGTGGGCTCCAGTGTTTCAATGATTTTCACCACTTGGGCCAGCTTCATGCCAGGGAGACGGTTAATGTCGAGGCTCAGCTGATGTTTTTCCTGATACGTCATTGGCAAGGATTTGTCACCCGAATCCCGATCATTGTCCCGGTTCATTGAATGCCTGAAATAAGGAAGGAAAGCTGAAAGCTTCTACATCATGTGTAAAAATAGCAGTAAGTCAGCAATAATACCTATCGGTGAAGGTTGAAGTCCGTTTGGGAAGGTCCCTGACATTCTCTCTGTCGTCGTTCTCATTCCTTGGTTTGGAAATACTAACAGGGTCTTCAAGGTTCACTCCAAGCTCTTCATTAGTCTTTACCTAGACAAAAAAAAAGATGAGAAAGAATTGATGCTGAAGATGTGGAAAACAGGGTAGCAATGGCATGAATTTGGCCTATTCCTATCACAAAATGCAATTGATAGGCTTTATTTTATCCAAAATGCTGTAATTAGAGCAATAAAGAAAGCCACCGTATGTTGGGTTATGGAATTAAAAGGCAGCTGGAAAGTTAGAATCCCAGCTTATTATACTCTAAACTACCATACAAGGGACAGAAAATTCTTGTCCAGCACTGTTCCATCTTCGCCCCTGGTGAAGTAGAAGGAGCGTTTTGAAGCAGAATTCAGAGATATTTAGCCTATCCTCAACTCATTGCTGTCCATCAAGCCTTCCTCTTAAAACCAATCCAGCCTGTTGGATTTTCACCAGGGTGTGAGGACTTTCTTTCTAGCCAATAAGAGCCTTTAGTTTACTACGCCAGCCACGTGAAATTACCACAGCAACAACTTCCTCTTCAAGGTCCTGGCTTTCTGTTTATCACAAACTTGTTCCGTTCTCCATGTCCACAACCCAACTGTAATAAACTCTGCTTTTTTCTGCCTTAACTCCGAGACTAAATTTGAAGTTTTTCCATTTAATCATGATAAAAAAATAGATTTCTTGACAAATAAACTTATTGATGAACACAGACTTTATAACCTCATACAGTATGATTTAAGTTAACTTAAAACAAAGAAGAGCAGCCTGAGAAAAAGAACGATTCTCACTTTCTCTGTAATTATTTTGACAGCTGTGAATTGTCACGATATAAATCGATTCAATTGAATAACCATAGATGTTTTAAAGAATTTTCTGGCACATTTTGGCAAGTCCACCAAGGAAGACGGATGTTTCTTGTTTTTTTTCCAACAATTCCCCAGGACATAGGGTTGTTTTGTCAGTCTATGTTCTAGATATTTGTAACTATATCCATTCTAATATAAAATAAGCAAAGATGAGCAAATCAGGCTAAGCAGAAAAAAAGACTGATACAGTCCCCTTTATCGGTTCTCACCCTGGCTAACGAACAGTCAAGGCTCCTGGAGATTCATTGCCACATTTGCATCACCCACTAATATATCGAACATGTAATTCAAATGGAAAATGTCCTCAAGGATTTCAAGTTGATGCGGTGAAAATTTGTTCTCACACATTTCACCAATCAGGAACATCTGAAGACCGTTTAAGTGCACGTGTGAAAGCGGCTTAGGGGCACATTTGCACAGAAAGGCGAGACATTTAACACATGAGTTTTTAAGTCACAAATAACACCTTCTAGATTTATTGGCACAGCTTGTAAAGATGTGCAAAAATCATTAAAACTAAACATTTTAGGCTGGTGTTAAAATCTCATACTAAAATCAATTTTAATATATTTTAATAAAATCTAAAGCTCAATTTGAGGATTTAGGTTTGAGAGAGGCTTGGAAGTTAAAATAATTATTTAAGCTAAAATGAACAAATTCTCGGAAAAGCGACATATAAATAATTTATATTAGTAATATAACGAATCTATGTTAGCAGGGATAAAAAGATTCATAGTTTTTCCAATAAAAGTTGTCTAAGTTTAACATGAGGACGATTTCTTTTGAACTCTGTTTAAAATGTGGAAAGGTTTGATATCATATTGGAATCTTACAAATATGCTCAAATGTAATTGTTTAACAGCAAACAATTCAGATGGGTCTGATTTAAATAAAAGGATGAAAAGGTTCAGTGGATGATACTGTGAGCAAGTTTCTGCTTTAAAGGCCTTAAAAACTATTTTGGAAGCAGCATCATGAACTCTTTTAATCACATTGCATAAAAAAATACAAAACATATCCACAAATTGGCACCCTTAATCTCTAACCTCTTTAATCTCCCAGATCTACTGTAAATTCTCAGTATATCGGGGGAGAGAGCATAAAATAAGTTGCAAGTAATTGTGACATCTCATATTTGATGAAAACAGAAACATTTCCTAATTCCCCAAGCCACGCTGAACTTAAAAGAAATGTTAAATGAGGAAGTTGTGTCCCTTTAAAAAGGCAGTTGCGCCTCGGGGCTTCCCCACCGGTTCTTTTCTTGAGAGCAAGTTACTTACTACTCTTAACTCAAACTGGGTAAAACCTTATAAAAAAAGGACTAAAAAAACAGGAGTAAAAAAGTAACATAACAGAAACCCACCTGTTCTTGTACCTGAGTAACCTGGGTTTCCTCACGTAACTCAGACCTGTGAATCTGCTTGATGGTGCTTCCAGGAGCAATAACCTCTATGTGTTCTTCTGGCATCTTTGCAAACTTCTGCTCAAACACTCCCTGTAGCATCCATAAGAAGATGAGGCGGGGAAAAAAAGGCATCAATGGAGAGCATTATTTAGAAATCACACAAGCACAAAATTTAGCAGCACACCTGAAGCTTTCTGGCCATGCCCACAACAGTGTGGTGTGAGGGGTTATACTTGTAGCAATTGGAAAAAATTAAGCGGACATCTGCAGCAAATTGATGTTCATCCTGGTATTCTCCTCCATCCATCTTTTTCTGCAAATTAACAACAGAAATATCATGAGGTAAGCCAAGACTTTAATTACTTTTATATTAAATATGCAATAAAAAACAACCAAGTAGATCTACTTTCACAGTGCCGAGATCCATGGGGTTTTTGATGATGTTGTGGTAATCATGTAGTCCCAGAGCTTTGGCGTCGACGGGCTCGTAGAACGGCCACGCATACGCTGAATGTTTTTTCGACAACAATTCCTTTAAGATGTCGCTGCAGTACTTCAGCTGTTCCTTCAGACCTCCCACCTCTACGGTTTTTTGTGGCTCCTCCTTTTTTTCAAAGTTTCTGCTTAGAGGACTGATTGTTTTGGTCACACTGTCACCTCTCATCCTTTTACCTACATGGAAAAAAAAAAAAAAGAAAAAAAAAAATGAGAGCCACGTTTTTCAAAACTTTGCTCATTTTCCCAATTTGATCACACTACAACTGTGGACAAACAAAAATACTGCAGAGTTGTGAAACAGAAAGAAAATAGCTTTTTTCTTTTTATATAACCAAAACCATGAAGAAATAGCATAAGCAAATACAAACAGCCACCTTTCTTCTGCAAACTGTTGGAGCTATTCTATTTTATTTTATCTTATCCTGTATTAACCTTGTTTATTCTTTGTATTATCTTTATTAGCCTCAGAGAGCCTAATAAATGACCCAGAGAGCCTCGCACTACCTCCACACAGAGCTGCTGGACCGGCTGCTTTTATCACATAATTATGAGATATTATCTCGTAATTATGAGATCTTTTTTCATAATTACAAGATCTTTATCACATAATTATGAGATCTTGATCTCAATAGTATGAGATCTTATCTCATAATTATGAGATAAGTTGTCATAATTATGAGATAATATGTCATATTCAGGAGATCAGAAAGAACAGTCATTGCAGATCTCTACGCTACATGAAATGTGAACAATGATTGGGTTGTGAGATTTAATCTGCTTTTGTTTTCTTTTAGATATGTGACACTGGGAAATACCGAGTTTCCTTAATGTGGACTGAATTAATTTGAATTTGTCAGCATTGTAAAGTAAGTCCTTAGAATTTTTTTAGGCGTAGAAGCCCACTCTGACTTCACACTTTTCCTGCAGGAACAATTAAACCAGCACAGGCTGCTTTATGGTTGTAAATGAATGCGTCTGAAAAGCATTTAAACTGCTTGGTGGTTTCACATAGAACTGTCCATCGATACCTTCTCAAAATCCTAATCCTGATGAAAAACTAAAAACATACGGAATCTGTATTAATAGAGCTGTTGACGGATTTTCGCGTACGGTCATATCGCTACATGCTTACTCCACAAGTAGTAATCCCAGGGTTATAGATGGATTTATTGATGAAATGAAAAACAGGAGCGGAACTCCAACGCATATCATGTTAGACATGGGTACAGAGAACTGTTCAGTGGAACAGATGCAGATATTCTTAATAAGCAATCATGAAGACCAGTTTTGTGAGAGATTCTACATTACAGGCTCAAGTAAGCATAAGCAAATGTATAGATACGATCTCATAATTACGAAACAAGATCTCGTAATTACGAGATCAGTATCTCGTAATAATGAGATATTATTTCGTAATTACGAGATACAGATCTCGTAATTATGAGATAAGCTATCAGATTTTTTTTTGGGAGTGAATGCAATACGCTTCCATACAAATCAGAGCAATCCTTGATATAAAAATTTCAAAGGTAAAAGTTGATTCAACAATAGGAGGAGCTAAATTCTACTTGGGGCCAAAAATACCCACCACAGTTTAAGATGTAACTGAACAAATAAAAAGCAAGAATCAATTCAGTTATCTACTACTTTGTTCTGACATCCAAAATCCCAGACATAGACATTAAAGTTAGACTGCAATGTGACAAAATGTGATCAAATTCACGGTTTTACAATCCCACCCAATATCCACTGCCTACAGAAGCTACTACATTACCTGAAGGGGTGATGTTTTTGCCTCTCCCTCTCCCTGCAGGCTGAATAATCTCCTCTTCTTTCTGAGGCATCTGGGAAACTTTTTGCAAGAAAATCTTTTCCAAAGCGAGAGCCATCAACACAATGTCATCTGTAGGCTGTACAGGAGGACCAGTAATGGTAATTTGTAAGTTATTACACATTTAAAAAGGATTCAGAATCAGTTCAGTCAAGGCACTTTAAACTACAACGCCTCTAACCTTGTTATATATGTAACAGTTGGTGAACATAGTGTTGAAGTCCTGCAGGCATTCGCTTGAACTCCTGTAGTAGTTATTCTCCAGTCGTTTTTTAATGGTGCCCAAATCCATGGGAGATGTTATTACCTCGTGATAATCCTGTACAAAGATTGAGTCAAAGAAATGTTATTGTACGTGGTGTTTAATCATATATTGCTAAGCTCTGTCTATGTAAGACTGAATAAACAATATATAAACAGTACTAACTGGCTCTTATCTGACACTAATGTGATTGAATAAAAATAAAAAAGACCACATACTGAAAGTCCAAGACCAACTGCATCAACTGGCTGGTAGAAAGGCCAAGCGAACTGGTGCCGCCACAGCGCTTTGACCACCACTTTCTGCATGTACCGCAGTTGGTTGGTCAGTCGGCCAGGCTTGTTGGGATTGGTCACCTCAGGGGGAGGAGGGTTCACAAACACTTTAGGATCTGGCTCGGTGTCCGCCGACATGATGTTGTTGTTATCTTGCGTTGGCTGGGCAGCCTGGTTTGTGCAGAGTTTTCATACCACACGAAAGAGAATGTGGTCACAAGCTGCCAACCGCTGTGAATAATGAAGACGAAGGTTATAAACAACAGTAAAGAAGAGCAACCACATAAAAATACATGGATAAAATTCACAAGCAGAGGGAACCAAATTGTAAAACCAATGAAGTCAAGATTCCAAACCCATCATCTAGTCTTACTAATAATCTTTTGAGTTAAACCGACTTGCAGTTAAGATTACATTTTTATTCTGATCCTGCTGAGTCAGACCCAAATATTCCATTTATTACGATTAGTTACTTACTATGAAAGGTAGGGGTGTGGGGGAAAAAATCGATATGGCGATATATCACGATTTTCGGCCGCCCGATTTAATATCGATCTTTCAGCTTCTAATATCGATTTAAAAAAAAATTTCCCCCCTAAAACAATGGGGGGAAAATAGGCCACTTCTGCACTGCCGCTCCGGTAGATCGCGCCGTGGAGCCCTTTTGCTGTGCGGCGTGCCATTTCTGTAGTAGAGAGGCAGTCACAGTGGCAGACGCGGGCTGACTCAAGCCAAACAACATGGCTAGCAAAATAACAACACCTCCACAGTACAAAGCTGATGTCTGGAAGTACTTTGGCTTCAAATGTCAAGATAGTAAAAACGACCTCGACAAGAACAGCGCTGTCTGCAAGCTTTGCCTCGCTCCTGTGAAATATTGTGGGAACACAACTAACTTACGAGCTCACCTAGCAAAACATCATGCCGAGGTGTTAGCAGAAAAGCAGCCACAGCCGCAGCCAAACCAGACCACTCTGGATAACTTACTACCATCTAACTCACCTCGTGCTCAGCGTATCAGAGTCCATTTTGCACTTTATTTATAAGGATTTGCGAACATATAGTGTGGTTGAAAACATTGGCTTCAGGTGGATGCTTCATGTGTTGGAGCCTCGTTACAGGATTGCGCAACGCGTTCACGTTACGGAAACGGCTGTACCCAGGATGTATGAAGAGGTGAAGACAGCCGTTAAAACCTCTTAACACGGCACAAAGAGTTGCCCTGACGTGTGACGGTTGGACGTCCAGGGCCACCGAGTCGTATGTTACTATAACGGCTCACTACATCTCTGACGACTGGGAACTGGTTACACATGTGTTGCAGACGAGAGCAATGCATGAAAGCCACACCGGCAGTAACATCGCGGATGTACTGAAAAAGGCAATTGAGGAATGGGGCATACAGGATAAAGACCCCGCCATTGTCACGGACAATGCGTCAAACATGACCATCGCAGCAGAGCTGGCTGGGATGCTGCATTTCAAATGCTTCGCGCACACACTAAATTTAGCTTCCCAGCGCGCACTGAAGTTGCCAGACGTCCAGCGCTTAATGGGAAGAGTGAGACGGATTGCCAACTTTTTCAGACGCAGCACCACGGCTAGCCATGTACTAAAGGAAAAAAAAAAGCTGCTGAATCTGGAACAGCACAAACTCAAGACGGACGTAGTAACCAGGTGGAATAGCGCCCACGACATGCTCCAGCGCTGCCTCGAGCAGCAGCCAGCCATTACTGCTGCCCTGCTCTCAAATGAGGTGAGGAAGAATGACAAGGACATCAGCACTCTCACTGAGGCCAACATTGCAGCTGTAGAAGAAATAGTCACAGCTATGAAGCCCATGAAGGATGCCACTGTCGTCATGGAAGAGGAGAAAACTCCCACATTGTCTGCAGTTGCACCAATCCATGCCCAGCTGATTAAAAAACTCCAGGAGAGCCCGGATGACTCTAACATTACAAGGGAGATCAAATCTGCCATATGCCAGGATCTTAAGAAGAGGCATCTGGATGAGCATGTAAGAGAGACTCTCCATCTATGTGCAGCTTTGGATCCCAGATTTAAGACCTTGCCTTTTTTGTCGGAGGATGAACAAAAGGCCGTTTATGACAGTCATCACAGAGGCTGCAAAGACCCAGGGGCTGTTTATGGTAAGCTAAAACGGATGAAAAGCCTCTTTAATATTCAATCCAATAATATTTTAAAAAGCAAAAATAATAAAAGTTTAAAATGCATTATTAAACACTGGTGAATGTTGGTAAACAATTATATTGTACAAAAAATAGATTAAGTCAGCATTTCATTTTCATTTATAGTATGTAGACTTATATAATTAACTTAATTTCATGTAATGCTGTTTTTCAGCAGAAAGGAGCCGGAAAGGAGGAGATTCAGACATGGGAGTCAGAGTCTCAGGCTGATGGAGATGAAGATGAAGGGCTGGAGGTGCCAGATGAGGACCAAGTCTGCAGCCAAGGTCGTGAGGAGAAGGAGAACGCTGCAGCACAGTCCACATCCAAGAAGAGATCCAGGGATTTCTGTGGCCTGGCTAAACTTCTTGGTCAAACGTATGCTTCAGGTCAGAGTAGTAAATTTAAATACCCACTCATGTTAAAAATGTCTCCTACCTAATATACCTCCTGCTAACTATTTGAGCCTCACTGCCACACAGACTGTGCAATTTTTTCCCACTCAAAGTCAAACGTTTACTTCTTCTCATTTAAAAAAAAAAAATCCAAATTCCTCACCGTGTAAGTGTAATGTACACAACTGGATGTTTAAAGTTTCATATAACAGTTGTGTAAGACAGTCATTTGTCCAATATTTAACTTACATTATACACAAATACTTTTCTGAGAAGTCTAGATTTTTTTGATAATGCAGAACAAACTTCACAGCACACAATTCTGAAAAACCTCTAAACTCTGGACATATTTTATTATGACGTTAAATTGTGGGAAAAAATAACTTTTGTTGTTCTTAAAGAATTTGCTCATTTTTGTTAACACTATGTATTCCAGGGGCTGCAAAGAGGTTGAAGACTGCAGACAAACGGGTACAAGAGGAGATGGGAAGATTCAAAGAGACTGCTCCCATGCCACTTACAAAAGGAACCAATCCACTGGACTGGTGGAAGGAGCGAGAGTATGAATATCCCCTCCTGTCAAACCTTGCAAAGAGTTATTTGTGCATCCCTGGGACAAGTGTCTCCTCTGTAAGAGTTTTCTCGACTGCGGGGGTCATTATCACTGCACAGAGGAGCACACTCATCCCAGAGAACCTTGATCAGATTCTCTTTCTACACAAAAATCTGAACACAAAAGAAGTGAAGTACAAGCACTAGGCCCACCCCTTTATCTGAATATTTAGTTTACTATTTCAGTTGTACTTCTTTGGTTTGCTGTAATAACTGTGCACTTTATTTTCCTCATACTTTTCAAGTCAATATGTTCAGTGGCAAGGCACATATTCAATATGTATGCACAGGCATTTTATTTTCATTTGTTTAAACTGACAATAGGAGAATTTTTTTTCTCATTTTTGTGCTTTATCTGTAACTCAGGGTACTTTACCCTTAATGTTTTCATTTACAGTGGTTACAGTGCTCTCAATGTGTTGCAATGGTTACTTGATGCATTTGGTTTTATATGGCAGTGTATAATGCCAGCAATATTTATGTATGCACAGGCATTTTATTTTCTTATGATCTTTTCAGATCATTGTTTAAACTGGCACAATTGGAGATTTTTTTTTCCTCATTTTTATGCATCATCAGTAACTCAGGGCTTAATGTTCTTGCTTATAGTGGTTAATATACCATCATTATGTTGTAATGACTAACTTGATTTGTCTTTCAGTGAAAAGCAACTTGTTGCACTTTATTTTAGGATGGCAGTGTGTAACTGGATTCTTCTGTCAGTGAAAATGTGCAAAAACACTAGTAGTAAAAAAATATGATGTTTTGAAGCAAATAGTTTGACTCAATTTGTCTTTTGATTAACATATACAGCACTTGATTTTTTATCTCTACATTTAATTTTGATTGTAGCTAGGTAATATATTGCAATATATCGTGATATTGCAATATTGTGATAATATCGTATCGCGACCCAAGTATTGTGATACGTATCGTATCGCAACACCCCTGCCAATACTCACCCCTAATGAAGGGTGGTTAACAGGAGCTAACAATCCTATCAGTATGTATGTAAACATTTGTCACGATTAAGTGATTCTGATAAATTCACATAATCACATGGCACTGGTGTAACTTTCTAAAGGACTGGTGTGGACATTTCCCCACCAAATTTGGCATGAAGGGGACAGTCCCCACTAATAATTTCTGCTTTTTTCCCCCTTTCCGCTGATTTACTTTAGCCAACAGTAACTGGGGTTAGGTGCAGCGGTTTGTGTTCAGATAGTTTTTAGTTCATGTTTTTTTTCCTCACTCTACCTATGCTCTCTAGTCCCACCTCTTCAAATATCATCGGATCTGTCGCTTTGGGACATAATATTATTTGGGGTCACTAGTCACTGCGTACAAAGTAGCTACGTGGAAGAGGAGAGACACACAGCAGCACTCAGTGAATTTTAACTGGGTTACTTCGATATATGTTTCAGGAAAAGTTAGGAGACTTAGGATAAAAGCCACTGGCTGTCATGGTCAGACCGCTATGCTATTACAAAAGATATCCTTAATCGAAAACATAATTGACACAGATTAATTGATTTGGAAATAATCATTGGTTATTTTCAAATATATATATATATATATATTAGGGATGGGATGATTCATGAAAACCGTCCGAACCGTTTGGTTCGACTGTCTCGGTTCGATTCGCGTGTGTTTCGTTCGGTTCATGCGCTGCTCCTTTTTCTCATAGGCGAAGCGTTTACACTCCCGAGCAGAAGGTGGCGGTACTGCGACCAAAGCCAACCACCAGTAGTAAACAAGAAGAAGAAGCGAAGCAGCTTAGCCGGGTGTAGCAGGGGAAAAAAATCAGTTGCTGTGGAGAATTGTGTGGGTATGGCGAGTGGGAAAGAACAGGAGTTGGAAGACGCGCCAGCAGCACTTTATAGGTCTGCTGTATGGGAGCGCTTTGCATTTAGAGTGACCTACGATGACGGCGGAAAGAAAGTTGTGGATAAAAGTGCAACACGTTTTGTTTATGCTAACAGCAACATGTCATGCTAACCCCGAAATCCCTCATACTCCAACAGCAACCCCTGC